TAAGTAGTCTTTGGACAAGAGCGATGTTTAGTTACATGTTGGGAATCAAAGATTTGCCTCTAGTAAGTGTACTCCATCAACACGTATGGTGTCAATTCCATACCCGATTCCCCTGCTTGCTATACCATCTCCTTTGTATTGCTCCAGCGCGGGTGTGGAAATCGCGAAACCATTATTTCGACTTTAAAAATCATGAATGAATTAGCTCTCCAATACTCGAATCTGAAAACCTAATATAATGATATCCTACCAAAAAAATATTACCGGACATTTCATTGTCGCTGCCATATTCAATGCAGCATGAAAATCACCTTCGCTAGCAGCACCTTCACCGAAATAACACATCACGCAACTCTTTATGTTTGCCCTCTTGAGTGCGTAGGCGGCTCCCGATGCTTGCGGAATTTGCGTCGCGAGCGGAGAAGAAATTGTCTGAAAGTTTAACTTCTTGGAACCATAGTGTACGGGCATTTGCCTACCTTTACCCAAGTCTTTTTCGTTACTGTAACATTGATTCATAAATTCATCCAGAGTGAATCCACGATATAAAAGAACTCCGGCTTCTCGGTATTGGCCAAAAATCATGTCTTGACTATCCAAACCGGCGGCACTTCCAATGTAAGCTTCTTCCCCGTAATTTGTCATGTAGAAGCTTATTCGACCTTGTCGTTGAGCTTCGTAAAGAATTAGATCCATGATGTTTAGTGTAACCATGTCTTTATAAATCTTGACGGCAAATTCTTTCGATACCTATGCGTAAATGAAGTTGCTTTAATTATATGTAACAAGGTTAAATATATTATGAGGAAGGGAAAACATATGAGACCTGTGGTTCTTGTGAAGGATCCAGTACTTTCCCTTGTCTGTCCATTACTCGATAAGTCGGTATTGGATCGATGTTTTGAATGAATTGAATTTTATTAGTGAAATAGCTTTCTTTTGCACCGGGAAAACTGGTCTGTTCGTCCTTATCTTTCTCTGCGGAAACTTGAAGTAGCCTTTGGGTTGCTTGCAGAGCCTAAAGTTAATGTAAATGAATTCGTTCAACTTAAGTTTCATTTTTAGCTATTCAAACTTTTTTTTTTGACGTGGGACGTCTCCAAGGTCGAGTGGGCGGCACTTGAAAATTTTCTCACCAATAAATTTTTAGATGAGAAAAAAGTCCGTTGTGACCGGAAATTTCTGCGGAAAACGCTCCTAAGCGAATGCATCACGTATTTCAAGTAAAAACAAACTTCTTAACCCTTTTTATAAAAAAAATGTGACACGTGAGTGGAAAAAGTTCAGGGCAAAAAATGTATTGTTACAAGATGTCTTGGTATTTATTTAGGAGCGATCTTTTCGATTTCGGTTTTCCCGACTTTTTACTAGACTTTTTAACAAATTCAACAAGATAACCATCGTCCGATGATTTGATTTTTGTGGAGTCGTCTTTAAGTATATCTGATTTTTTCTGAGCATTTAGTCGGTTCAATTCTTTTATAGGACAATCATCGCTCGATGTATTATTTTGTTCACGATCATCGCCCTGGTCATTTTTCTCACGGTCATCTCTCTGATCATTTTTCTCACGATCATCGCTCAAATTATCTTGTTCACGATCGTCGCTCGAATTATTTTGTTCATCGTTCGACAAACTGGTTTGTTTATGATCATTTTTCGACGAGTCATTCTTAACAGATTGTCTCGCCGATTTGGTTTTTTTATGATCATTTCTCGACGATTTTCTATATAGTTTAATAATACTCGATCTGACCTTATCTTCTTCTGAAAAACATTGAATGATCAAGAGATTGTTATTATCGGGAGACTGATATGGTGTCAGAAACTCCGATGATATCCCAAGCGGTTCTCTTAATTGTTTATTATTTTCTGACGTGTCTGGGGAATCTTCTGTACCCAAAGAAATCGTATTCTTTAGGATGTCGTGAATCGTCATACGGGTACCATCATCAATTTTAGCATCATAAGATAATGTTTTGCAATTCGTTGTCACTTCTTTGCGAAGAACATGATCGATATCAACAGCCGAGAAGAAGGAGGCAGACTAATATTTTCAATATATATATATATATATATATATATGTAGGTATATATGTGTACGCGTGTGTATATTGTCGTTCATTGAATGAGAAAAAATAATGGAGTACACTTACTAGAGGCAAATCTTTGATTCCCAACATGTAACTAAACATCGCTCTTGTCCAAAGACTACTTA